CAAATTGTATTTCACTGTCAATGCTGGCCATCGACAGCTCTACCATTGATTCTAAATCTGGCAAAGTCACATAGAGAAGGCTCCCTACCTCCTCCTTCCCTAAGACATTAAAACAAACATGAAATACAGGCTTCCATTTCTTTCCACAGTATACTCTGTCTTGCTCTACCAACACTCTTGATTAAAAATTATTTATAGATATTTAAAAAAATATTAAAGGCAGATGTGTAGGGAAAAAAAAGGCAAAAGGCAATGTAGCTTTTAGACTAGAACTTGAAAATCAAAACTTTAGCAAAGGTAGAAAAGCAAAAACACTGACAGAACCCTGTGATTAGTCATTATATTTGTCTCTGAGCCTCCTGGCAGCCTTAGCAAAAAGGTAAATATGATAGGTTATGTGTTTGGGTTTAGGTATAAAGAAAACACAGGTTCTTCATATGATTTTTGAGCTAAGTTCTAAAGTGTATTTATAGATATTTATGAGATACAGGCAGTAGCTTAGACAACAGTTTGCTAGCAAATGAAAAATTACTTTTGAGATAGTTCTTTCTCTTTGGCAAGTGGCAAAGGTTGAAGGAAAACATGAAAACCTAATTAGGCAAAGACACTTTGCAAAGATCAAGCTAGTGTTATCCAGGGTCTTTCAGGTTTTTAAAAAATTTTTATGGCAGTCATTTGGGTAGGGGTAAGGGGAATCCTCTCTTTTAATCAGTAGCCAATGTTTGCAATGTAGCTGGCTGAGAATGAAATTTTTCCCTAGCTGGTCCATCAGAAACCTTTATTCTGATTCACTGTCAACAGAGCTCAGAAGTATGAAGGGACAGGCAGCTCCTCCAAGAATCAAAGCCTTTTCATCTCTTGCTGCCACCTTCTAAGCTGGTTCTTCTGTGTCTGGCTTCATTTCCTGTGCATCAGAAGTGCACAGTCTTATTTTAACCTTATACCAGAGCAAGAGATCCTGTTCTGTTAGCCTTCATGTATAACAAACCACCCCAGAAGTTAGTTGCTTTAAAGCAGCAACCATTCATCAGCTCACAGTTCTGCATTAAGGGCTGAGACCACAATTCTGCAATAAGGGCAGCTGGTCTCTGCTCTCTGAGGTGACAGCTGGGCTCCCCACTGGGTTTGCAATCATCTGCTGGCTGGAGGATCCAAAATGGCCTCACTCACATGTCTGGGGTCTCAGTGGGCCTCCCTGGGCCTCTCATCCTCAAGGAGGCCAGCTCAGGCTTCCTTCCTTATGGTAGCAAGGAATGAAAGCAGAGCTGCAAGACTGCTGAAGGCCTCAGGCTGGAACTTGCAGAGGGTCCTCACTGCTGCTCCTGTTGTCACATAGTCAGCCCAAATGCAGTGTGGGCAGCTGCACAAGGATGTGAATTCAAAGAAGATTCCTGGGGATCATGTGGTGGCAATCATCCACAGCCCTGTCCCATCACTAACCTCAGGAACAGTGGTCTCCATAGGAAGCGATTCTCACCTGAGGGGTGGGGAGGAGAGGAATGTCCTTTTGGGAGCAGGGAGATGGAGGTCATTTGGTGCCAGCCCAGTTCACATACCAAATTCTGTTCACTCAGCACTCAACTACCATCAAAAGCCCAAATATCAGACTTTATGAGCCCTACTTATAATTTTCAAAAGGAATATATTAAAGATGGACCTTCCAAGTGATGAAAGAGTAAATGTTTTAAGAGGCCTCTTGGAAACCATGCTCGGAGTCCTTGTAAGTGTGGGGTACGTTGAGTTGTGCCACTCTATGGCTAACTTCTTGACATTTGTGACACAGTGGCATCCCCAGACCTCCCAGACAGCTGGGCGATTGGAGAGCACGATGTCATTGTCATCAGCTATAGTGACATATACAGCATGCTAATGGCAGCCCAAAAGTCAGCTGAATTTTCTCTAGGCTGGAATGAGAATGCCTGACAGGACCCACCGACCCTAGCTCTGGACAAGGGTCACACTGTTTTAAAGGGTAACTTGAATGACAACAAAGCGCATGTGCTCATCACTTATGTAGAAGCTGGAAAGTTGCAAGGGCTAGATCACAAAGACCCTGGATAACAGAATCAGTGGTAAAAACATTTTGATTTCAGGAAAGCAGCATCAATCTTTAAACATAAGATCCTGTTTTGGCTCAGAGAGTGTATATGCACATGCACACACACACACACGTGTGTCCATGGAGAAGAGGGGTGAAGAAGGCCTGACTTAGCAGCACCATGCAAAAAAGAACCTGTAGCTATTTCCAGTAAGCTCAATTTGAGTTAAAAGTAGGCAAAGTAAATGTGACCTTTAACTATGTGAATAGAGGCATAAATGCTAGAATAAGGGAGGTGATTTGTTCCCTCTACTCTCTTTAGCCCAATTTGTACCAGAAGCATTAGGCCAATTTCTGGGTGAGTAACTTAAAAGAATCAGAGGAAAAAATAATATACTTAGAGGTTCAACATGACAAAAGAGCTTAACCTCACGAGATATGAGGAAATAGAAGGAGGAACTGAAGACACTTGACCTGGAGAAATCCTCAGCAAGGGCTGAAGGGTGCTTTTCAACTCTAAATGGTCATCATGTGGAAGAGGGATTTGATCTGCCCTCTATGGCCCCAAAATAAGTATTGGATCAGTAAGTGGAAGGTTGAGAGGCTCTAGCATTTAGAGAGCAAAAGAAAAAAGAACACCTAATAGTTGGAGTGGCCTAATAAGAAATGGACTGCACAGAGCTCCCAGTCAGTGCAGGGGCTAGACGATCACTCATCAGGATAGACAGAGGGGATGCACGCTTTAGATGGGCGATTGGTTCAAAGCAAACTTTAAAATCCTGTCCAACTAACTCTGGGGTCTTTGGAATCCACAGGGACTTGCCCAGAGTCACAGAGCAAGTTAGTAGCTCTCCAGGATCAGATGCCCAGTTTCCTCACCTCCTTGATGATAAGTTAAGCTGGGATGCAAAAAGCAGCCTAGGGACCATGTTCTACCCATCCATCCAGACCTATCTGTTAGACCAGCATCATGTGTGAAAAGTCAATGTCTGCAGAAGAGCATGCCATTTCTGGCCGTGGCCACCATGCTCTGTTGTCTTCCCTGGGCATGAGGCCCCTGCACATGTTTGTATTTCCTGCTTGGCCCCCATGGCTTGGCTTCTGAAGATGTCTAACTAGGAGCAGGGCAGAGCGTGAGGAGGTGGCCCTGGATCAAAGAATGTTTTGTCAGCCAGACATAGGTTTCTAGGGATGGTCAGCCCTCACTTCTTTTACAACTCCCACGGTAATAGAAAACATGTGGAAGGATGGAGGGAAGGAGAGAAAGGAGCTTTTTTTCTTTTTTTGAGCATCAATGTATTATGACCTTTCCACACATTAATCCCATTTAACCTTTAAAACCCATATTAGTTTCCTAGGACTACCATAACAAAGTGCCATGGACTGAATGGCCTAGAACAATAAAAACTTATTGTCTCACAGTTCTGGAGTTCAAAATCAGGTGTCAGCTGGGCCATGCTCCCTCTGAAGGTGGTAGGGTGATCTGCTCCAGGCCTCTCCCCTACCTCCTGGTATTGTCACATGTCCCTTGGCTTGTAGATGGCCATTTTCTATTTATGTCTCCTCACGTGTCTGCCTTTTGTGCATCTGTCTCTGTGTCCAAATTTCCTCCTTTTATAGGAACACTAGTCATGTTGGTTTAGTGCCTAGTGACCTTCACTTGGTTAAATCTGCAAAGACTCTATTTCTGAATAAGGCATATCTGAGGTACTGGAGCTTAGACATTAGTATATCTTTTGGGGGATACAGGTCAACCCATAACAGCCCACCCTTTGGCTCCCCCAAATCCATGTCCTTCCCACATGCAAAATACATCCACCCATTGAACATCTTCGTGGACATCAACACCTAGTTTGGTAACAGGCCCAGGAACGTGATGCTAATACACGGAAACCAGACTTAAAGTGCAGTGGTGCTGACTCCAAGTGCTGTCCTCGTTCTATCACACTGTGCCACTGCCGTGGGCATGCCTGCCACATGCCTCATGCCCTTTTCTCACACTTAGTGGACTGCGTGGCTTTCTCATGCTTAGTGGAACTGGTCGAGCCCAGATTGGGTGCCAAGGGACATGGAGCTCCTACCGCCCTCTGAGAAGAGCAAGGCTCAGCCCTGTGGGTCTGACCCAGGGCCTGGGTGTGAGAAGATGAGAGGACAGGTGATAGAAGGGGCAGGTCCTGGAGAACAGAGGCAAAGCGTGGAAATCAAGCCCTGGGGAAGTGCTGTGCCTGCAGGTGGGAGAATGTGGCCCACTCAGGTCATTTATCTGGAGGACGGGCCCTCACAGGCTGTTGCCTGAGCTGCTATGGAAAACACAGTGAACGTGGCTGCTATGCCCGGCCTAGCTGAGGGCTGAGGGCCTACAGCTGAAGCCCTGTCTGTTGCCACAGGCCCTGTGTCCAGTAAGGAAGAAACAGGGGAGTTAGAGGCTTAGCTGGGCAAAAGACCAAGGCTGAGAACTCACACAGCACGACTCCCGACCATCCACTTCCTGGGAAGATGGGGATCCAGGCAGGAGTGGGTCCAGGTGGAGCTTCCCTTAGGGATCAGGGGAGGACTGGTGGGAGGCACTGGGGAAGGAGGCTGAGCTAATGGGAAGAGCATGGCTTTTGAAGTCATTAGATCCAGCTTGAAAGCAAACTGTGCCACTCACAAACTATGTGGCTTTGGAAAAATTGATAAACTCTCTGAGCCCCATTTTCCCATGGGCTTGTCATGAAGACTAAACAGTATGTGTGAGGCATGCAATCCTGCACAACTTGCTGAGCTCAATAAATAACTGTTTTTGCCACCATTTTCCCCTTCAAAGCTGAGCTGCACGAGCCATCCTGGGGAGACCTAAGGAAGACCTGGGGAGGAGAATTGACCCCCTAGTCTCCCTCTGAGGCTTACTTCACCCTCAAAGGGTAAATGTCTTGATCACAATGGCCCCCGTTTTGCTAACCATGCATTTTCTCCCTCACAGAGGAACTGAAGGAGAAGCTGACAGAGTATGTGGACAAGGTGAATGGCCAGAAGCCAGGCTTCATCAAAGTCGTGCGCCACAGCAAGCAGGAAGGCCTCATCCGCTCCAGGGTCAGCGGCTGGAGGGCAGCCACCGCCCCCGTAGTGGCTCTCTTTGATGCCCATGTGGAGTTCAATGTGGGCTGGTAAGTGCCCACCAGGAGAGGAGGATGACTCCCAGTATGACCCGGGGGGTCTGGCTCAGCTGGATGCAAAGCATGCTGGGATCCCAGTCATGGTGGGGAAAGGAGAGAATTCTGGGAGCAGGTGAGATCTGGGTGTGTGAGTGATCTGGGCAACAGGGCTGGCCCTCAGGTTGGGTAGAGTCAGGGTCAACACATCAGCGCACAGTGTCTAAAGGGTGACATCAGGTGTGACTCCAGCAAGCATGGTCCTCTAGGAGACATAATCTAGGAGAGGAGTAAATGCTAAAGGCAAAGCTGAGCAGGCCAACCAAGTTAAGGGCAGGGGAACGGGACCAGACCTGAGCCAGCAGCAGTTATGCAGACAGAGCCAAGACCAAGTGGGCAGAGGGAGCAATGGTGGCTTGATGTTTTTGAGGGGTCCTGGGCTTCTGCAGATTTCAGGCCAGAGGTAGCACAGAATCTCAGATTCTTTGTGCTGGTGAACTAGGTCTTAGAAAACCTTTCTTTCTCTGGTCAGGGATGCTGGGTGGAGCAGAGAACAGACACAAGGCCTCAGTGGCTACCGCCAAGCAGGGATGGGGACATGTCTCCAGGCCGGAGGGCATGCTATAGCCTGCTCTGCGTGGCTTTGCAGAGAGCCTGGGCATAGGGGGCCCAGGTTCTGGGGGTTGCTGAGTGTCCTGTCCTCCTACTCATCCTGGGCCCCAGGTGCCTCCTCTGCCTCCCTGGTGTGGGGTGAGGAGGGCCTTTTAGCAGCAGGGAGCAGCAAGGCAAGCACACAGCAGGACTGGATTTGGGCATACTTTTTTATAACAGGCACAATTTAAGGCTGCAACACAGCTATTTTTTATAGTTGAAGTCCTTGCTTGCCATTTGTAACTATTTAAAAAGCATTTTCACTGGATTTATGGCCAGGAGAGGAGAGGGACACTTACTTCTTCAAGCTGATTTGAATAAACAATTATGCAGCAAATACATTATTAACAAAAAACTCATCATTCCTGCCTGCAAACACTACTCACCCCTGTGGGCCTCCTGGCTCCCCGGAAGCCTGACCCCTGGCTCTCCTTGGGCCATGGGGACTGCACAGGGTGGGGATGGCATGTCTGGAAGGGTCAAAGCAGCCTGAATGCCTGGTGGAAGTAAGTTCGGTCACACTCCTCATCTCTGCCATCCTCATCTCCTTTGCCTCCTTGTTGATCACCTGAACAAAGCCCAAGTTGAAAGCCTGCCATGGAAGCTCAGATCTGTTCCTTTCTTGGTTCTTAAGTCTTGATATTTTTTTTCCAGTGGAAAGAGGGAAAGCAAGCAGACACAAGGGTCTAAGGCACCGAGAATCTCTCAGCTCAGCCCAGGATATGCTGAAGGAGGGGTCAGGCCTCTTGACAACCCACAAGTGCGGGGGATGGAGGTTGAACAGGTGCTTCTCCTGGGAGGCAGAGCAGCGCTCCCTGGGGGAAGGTGGCCCAGTGGTTTTCCCTGTTACTGCAGGGGAGGGAACTTTAGGAGTTGCCCATCTGGTATGTATCTGTGTTGGAAGCAGTTATCCCTCTCTCCCTCCCTCCTGCTCAGGGCTGAACCCGTACTCACACGCATAAAGGAGAACCGGAAACGGATCATCTCGCCATCTTTTGACAACATCAAATATGACAACTTTGAGATAGAAGAGTACCCACTGGCTGCCCAGGGCTTTGACTGGGAGCTGTGGTGCCGCTACCTAAACCCCCCCAAGGCCTGGTGGAAACTGGAGAACTCCACGGCCCCGATCAGGTAATGCATCCTTACCCACAGGTCTGCCTTTTCTTCCAGTCAGGGACTCCCCTCTCAGCCCAACCCTTCTTCCCCAAACTGTAGCCCCACCATGGGATGGGGGGCAGGAGGTGGTGAAGAGGAATTGAAAATGATCTTCCATCACTACTTACAGGCTCTGATGACCCCTTCTGCGGCCAAGGCACCCAGAATGCATTCAGGGACTCAAAGTCACTCATTTCAACACATTACTGTGGGACACCTGCTGGGTGCCATTACTTGTGCTGGGTGCTGGGAATCCAGAGGGAATAAGAGTTGGTTCCTGCCTCCGCAAAGCCTGGAATCTAGTGAAGACAGAGAAAATAATTGGAATAACGAGTTATTCCACCATACTGATGGAAAGTGGGCAGAATCCTTTTCAGACTGTAGCATTTGCACTTGTTTTTAAGAGCACATAAGAAATTGCAAAGTTGGAGCAGGGCACCCATAGTCCAAGGAGCAGAGTGAGTTCAAGGACACAGAGGAGATTCAAATGGACTGGAAGGAGGACTGTGAGGGTCCCCCAGGCAGTGAGGCTGGAGGGGCAGAGAGGCAAGGCCTGACCCCCCAGCACCTTGTATGCCTTATTGATGTTTAAGCTGACGCTATTTGATTCAGACAAAAGTGGCTCCACTTTTGTGGAAGTATGTCTCTGAGAGAAGTTCCCTAGTCAATCTGAGCACCTGATTCTGTTAGGTGTGTTTCAAGGATCCCATACTCTGACAGTCTTTGCTGCTACCTTCATAGACACTGAATGACACTCCTGTGCAGCCTCTGTTTTATGTGTCAGGAATCCTGAAATAGCCATTCCCACCAGCCCTTATTTCTATCTGGTTAATCACAGATCAGGTGCCTTTATGCTCTCTGCAAAGTCCTGCCCATTAAACACACAGATGGCACCAGAAGGTAGCCTAGGGGACAGTTCCTGAAATGAAAGAAGAGATTAGAAACTGATGTTGCTTTGTATTTACATAAAGGAGAAAGATTATAAAAAATTTAATTGAAAGTAGGTGATTATTATCTAAGATCACATTTTTTTTCTTGCTAGAAGAAAAATCTGTTTTCCTATTTAAAACAGAATGGAAGAGAACTCCACTTAGCTTTCCTTTGGTTATCTGTGTTACCTATCTGTTAGGCTTCTGCCACAATTTTGTGTTGTTAAATATTTGTTTAGAGGTCACTGTGTGCTAGGGCCTTTTACACACATGTTCTCATTTGCTCCTCATCATAACTTGGTGACAGCTCTTGTGTCCTCCCTGTTTTATAAGATGAGGAAGGTAAGAATGACAGAGGCAAATGGCTGCCAGAGGCTCTGGGCAGTGGATCCAAGGCCAGGTCAGTGAGGTCCCACTCCTGGTTGCCACCCCTACTCACCCACTGTTGAGCTGAGAACCAGTGCAGCTGAATTCTGCCCCCACGTCTGTTGGTTGCTATTAGAGGGAAGTAGGCCATCAAGCAATGAGCATTCTTATAAAAGACTGTACTGTTATTAGCTGCTTCTGTTCTGCTCTTCTCTCAGTGTGTCAGCCTCATCTTAGTAAACCTGTGTTCTAGGTTCTTGACAGAGATATTATCTCAGCCTCAAATTTCCATCACCTAATTTTTATCAAATATTTTTGGAAGAACACTCCTGGCTTTATCCCTAGATGAAGACAGCCCCACAGAAAATTGTGGGTTTTACAAATCTATCTTCTATTTCTTTGGAGCTGTGCTTTAGTGCTTTGTCCATACATGATTTAAGATCTAAAAAGAGCTCAGAGGCCCCGCGGTGGCGGGAAGGGCGGCCCCCGCGCGGCCCCGCTGGCCTCCCGTCGGGGCGCGCCGCCCTCCGCCTCCGTCTCCGCCTCCAGGACGTGCGGCCGCCGGCTCCGAGCGCGGCTCCCCTGCCTGCGGCGCGATGGGCTGCGGGAACTCCACCGCCGCCAGCGCGGGAGCCGGCCGAGGCCCTGCAGGAGCAGCCAAAGATGTAGCAGAAGAATCGATAACGGAAGATGACAAGAGGAGAAACTATGGTGGGGTGTATGTTGGTCTACCATCTGAAGCTGCCAATATGGTATACAATCAAACAAAGACTGTACGAAAAAATTAGAAGAAAATGTCATGACTTAATAATCAAGAGCTTGCTGGTTAGAGTTTGGAAGGAATTCCACTCCATGGGACACTGTAATGTGCACAGACATGTTCAAGGAAATGCTAAAGGTCCCCTGCTCTGCCTCCCCATCTCCCCCTCCCTCCCGCAAAATTCCTAAGTCTGTAGTTAAAACCATGGGTACGTTGTGATACTAGAAACGAATTGATTAAACAGTACAGCCGCATATGGAACTTTCTGTGGTCGAACTGCAAAAGACAGGCTAACCAGCTGTTGCTGCCCAGCTGGCCTGCTGTGTTCCAGCCACATTTCACCCTGGCCATTCAGCATGGTTCATGAAGATCATGTTTTTTCACTGACACTTTTTTGATAGTTTTTATATAACAAAATCCTTATTCTATTTATACCTTAAGAGATAGTAAGGCACTGTAAATGAATTACATACAGTAATATATTTGTTAATTTTCACTTTTTCTACTTCATATTAATTTTTGGCTGTAAGATTATTAAATTGATTCCTATTGTTACCTCTTTCCCTTTTTACTGTTTGGTTTTCAGCTTTATTTAAATATCAGAGAACTTCCTGGCCAATGTATTACATTGTAATATTTAAAAACAAACTGCTGAAATTTGCATGCCATATGCACATTTTGATTAATTTCCTATTTTCTTTAGGCAAAGACTATTTCACTACAAATAGTTCATAGCCATTGAGTCTCCCATTCTACCTTGGTGTGATCACAGGATCTCATGTTAATTCTATAGTATTTTCAAGGACTTGTGACCAACAGTGGGATATTTGGAAGGTTCTTACTTTGATAATGACCATGTGTATCTACTTACTACTGCAATGTAAATCCCTCAATTTACCAATGTATTTCAATAATTAAAACATTAAAAAAAAAGAGCTCAGAGATATCTCCTATTTCATTCTAAAGGGATGCCTTTGAGATGGTTGTTCGCTACATACTAAAGTGTCCACCTGAAGAAGACTGACACGAGAAATTTCCTTCAAACTGCCTGCTAGTCAAAGAAAGCCTCATTACCCCTGAGGAATTTATATGAGATTTCCACATAGGAACTGTAAATCTTACTTCTAAGACTATGTATGTTCATTTTTCACCTTGGACACCAGGAAGCTCAAAGTCAATTTTGAAGTCTACTTTAAGAACCATGAAGGAGGACCTAAACCTCCACATACATTCTAACTGGCCCCCAATTTGTTGTGAACATTTGGTCTTTTCAAATATTTATGTATTTTGGACCTTAATGTGTTTCACATTTTCTTATAAGCTATTTCTTATCTTTTGGGGAATGAGATGAGGTAAAAATCAATAACACTTTCAGCTGATTAGATCTACTTAATATCCCAGCTGGATAATAAGTAATAGACTGCCCAGCGTGGCCTGTGCCAACAATCCCAGAGTAACTGCTTTGGATTCTGTTCTTCCCTTGACTGGGTCTCGCCAGGTGGGAAAGGCCCTTGCTGTATGTCCTGGAGCACTCTGCCATGCTCTTTTTCACCACATTTAGACAGGGTATCTCTGGGCTTCTTCAGTGTGCAAGTGCAGATCTTTAACTGATCTTTTGAGTATCATCTATCTCAAAGAGTTTTTCAAGTGCTTTATAATTTTTAACTTAATCCTTCTGAGGTTATAGTTGATTCTGTTTCATAAATAACAGAATCAGGTGCTCAGATCGACTAGGGAGCTTCTCTCAGAGACACAGAGCCGAGAACAGATTTTTCCCATAGTATGTACCTCCAAGGCTGGGGTCAAGCATCCCCCACCAGAGCCGGAGCTCAGCGTGCTTCTGGAGCAGTGCGTTGAGGTAGACGGATACCCTTGATGCCTGTGGTCTATGGAAGGTGAGACCATCCAGGATAAAATACTGTGATTCAAAAGGAAGCAGGGCAGGGACCCCAGGGCTCCAGTCACTGCCTGAGCAGCCTCCTGCATCCACATTCTCTAGAGAAATGGCCTGCAAAATAACTGATGCTGCTCCTTGATGAGGTGCCAGTTTCAAAGCTGGGTCCATTTGCATGTGACTGACAGTTTTCTCATCACTGAGGATTCTTCACTTCTCCTTCACTTTCTCTTCCTCTCTAAATCCTTCAGCCACCAGCTGATGAGATGCTATGGTAGGGCTAGAAATGTTAAGTGTGCAGTAGAACAATTTAAAGTCATTTGTGTAAGGTGGAAAGGCAGCCCACATGTGCCCATACTGACTCACCTAATGTGAATCACTTACAAAGTCCTGCTGGTGTCTGCACATAGCCTGTAAGCCCATGCTCACACTCTCGCTAAGGGAAGGCCTTCCAGCTCCTGTACATACTAGTTGTTGATGTGAAACCAGGTCTTAGGTCACCAGCTAAGACCTCTGCTAAGTTCCAGATCCACACCATGTACTAAGCCCTACCTGTTGGATATCTCCCCCTAGAGTCCCACAGGCACCTTACAATCAGTTTTCCCAGTAAGGAATGCTTTTCCCTTCTGAAACCAGCTGGTCCTCCGTACCCTGCATTGATGAGGAGCCCCACCCCATCATCAGTTAGGCCAGCTGACATCCAGATTGCTCCCTCTTTCCTACATTCATAGTTCACCTGTGTCTAAGTTCTGCTGGTTTTCTACCTTTAAACAATCCCTTCCTTCCTGATACTCTGCTCCAGGTCTCACCATTTCGCACCTGGATAGAGCAACAAACTTCCCAGCTGGATTCCTCAATTTCCACCCAATCTCCTCCAATAAGTCACCACACAGCTGCCTGAGTATTCTTGTTAAAAATGCAGATCTGCTCATACTGCTGTCTGCTTAAATTCCTCACTGACAACCTACAGATAAATCCAAATCATTTATCATGCTATCCCAAGTCCCAGCAAATCTTTGCAAATGCACCAAGATTGGCATGCAGAATCCAAGTTGGGGAAGGGTGGGAAAGTTGGCATGGATGCACAGGTAGAAAGAGAGACTGGGTCAACTGTTCAGAGTTCAGGGGTCAGAGCAGCTAAGATACAGACATTCTATCTAGATAGGCAGGCTGAGCACTACTTCTCTGGGTTAAGACATATGCAACCACCACCAGGAATGACAGCTGGTCCCCGTACAGGAGCTGTGGTCTCAGTACAGGAGCTGTCTGCACTGCCCTGATGAAACAGCCTCCTTGGAGTAGCTGGGGAAGGTAGACCTGGGAGGGTCCCTTGGGGAAAGAGGCACATGCCAGTTCTGGCAGCAAAGGAAGGGAGAGGACCAGATCCTTCTGGTAGAAGAAGGCACCCCTGCTCCTACTCCTCTGGCAGAGCCCCCATGAGACAGCCCCTCTATTAACTGCTGGCCCATCTCCCCACACCCCTGCAGGAGCCCTGCCCTCATCGGCTGCTTCATTGTGGACCGGCAGTACTTCCAGGAGATCGGCTTACTGGACGAAGGCATGGAGGTCTACGGAGGCGAGAATGTCGAGCTTGGGATCAGGGTGAGCAGGGTTTCTCACCCGTAGGGCTTGGCTCAGCTCCCCAAAGGATGAATGAGTCTAAGGGGTGGAGAAATGGGCTCAAGGTTGAGGGTTATGATTCTGAATGTCCTGGCCCTAGTCAGGGTCCATTTGTGTGAGATCAGGGCTGATGAGGATGGGATAGACATGCAGGATGGGGCCTATAGGATTTGCAGGAAGAAAAGGACTCCAGAAATTGCTGGCAGAGGGTGAGGACATGGGAGAGTTGAGCTCCCAACTCAAGGGAACAACCTCTTTGCTAACACCAAACATATGCTTCTCAGAGGTGAGCAGAGGTGTGCTCCAGGAGGAGACTCTAGGCTTCAAAGGGGGCCAGACAGGAGTGCCCTCAGGGTCGTGTCCCCTCAAAGTCACCTCCCCTTGGGTTTCTCACTCTAATACTCTCTCTCTTCTCCACAGTGGCCCACAGAACTTATATAGAAACTTTGTCAATAAAGGGCTACAGGGAAACAAACACATGGGGCATAACAGGGCTGTTCCTCCTCACTGGCAAAACACAGCCAGGTTCCCTCCATGCTGGTTTCTGCCATGTGCTGGGCAGACCTCGGGCCCCTTTATGCCTCACACCATTCTCCAGGGGTAGCCACCATCCTGCCCCAAAGTACAGAACCCTTTGCAGCTATCAACTTGTGGCATGGATCCACAACAGGCACCATTTAATTTCCCTGGACCTATGAAAGATAACTCAAAAATGAACCCTTCCCCTGTGTCTGAGGGACTCCTTAGGTCTCCAGGAGGTAGGCAGGAAGGTGACAGCAGATACAATGAAGGAAAGAAGCTCACTCCTCTGTCCAGGTTGTGGTCCCATGCTCATGAAAAACCTGACATTCAAGCTGTGGTCCATCCCCACAATGGTCCCCACTGCCCTGTCTGTGCGGATTTCTAAGCAGCCTGCCACACCCACGTCCTGCTCGCTCACCAGCCCTTGGAGAGGACAGGACCTTGTACCCGCTGGTGTTCATGGCGGTCACCCTAGGTGCCCCTCCTCACTGCCAGCCCTCCATGCTACCACCCCCACATTTGGCTGGTTCCTAGGACTGGAGTTCCTACTTTTGTCCCTTTGGTCTTAGCATCTGTATTTGGCATCTCCAGTTCCTAATATTTGGCTCCTACTCAAGGACTCCAGCTTGGATATAACCTTCTCTCAGCTCTTAACTTCCATAACCCTCCCACCCCCAGTGGGCAATCAGCTGACCCTAGACAGCCCTCATCCTGTCCTGAAGGGAGACTGGCCACTTCCAATGGGCATCTCACAGCACCTACCATGGCCTGGTAGGCACTGTGTGGGCCTGACTTGTCACCCAGACTTCATACTGAGCTTTGAGGGCTAGCAGCAGGAGCAGGTTGTCTGAAGCCAAGCTTAGAAAATGCTTCCAGACCCCTGTATTCACAGAAACCCTGAGAAATTGCTTTGGAGGCAGTCAGAATGCACAGGCTTATTGGGAAGCCAATATATTCATAGAGGACAGCGCCTACATAATCACCCTCATTTCTCCAGCTCTCCCCACACCAGTCATTTATTCACCATTTGCATCCTTGCCATCTTATTCCAGTGCCGCTCCTGGATAAATGCTTGCCCCAAACATAATATTTTTCACTAAGAGCTGCTGCCAGGAATTGGCAGAGTGGGCAGGCCCGCCTCTAGTCACTTGTGTTCTCTAGGTAAAAATGTCCGGGAACGGAGAAAGGAATTAGATTTGTGAACTCTGCTTCCAACATGTATGTGAGTCAATCACAGCAAGGCGGTGATTTCTGGCTTTTCCTTGCCTAGATTATAAAGTTGTTCTGGAGCATATGGGCCTGGGTGAGGCTTTCGAATACTCACTAAGCATCTTTGGGTGGTTTTGTGTTCAGGGTGTAAGATGCAGTATAGAATGTTACCTGGCTTTTCCTTTCCCCTCTTTGTCTTCCCTCCCACTTAATAGACATGAAGGGTCATTGGCATTTAAGCAAAGGTGTCCTTGAAAGCAAGGACCCAACAACCTGTTGGCTGGCAGAGCTGAGAACAGAGAGGAAAGGCTAATTAATTTGAATTCCAATCGCCCCTTAAAGGGATACAGAACCACTGACCACCTCTAAAATTCACATTTTATGTAGTTATTAGTGTTTTTCTTTCATATTTTATGAATTAACATCTCAGGATTGTAAGTAAAAATGAGAGACATTGCTTCACTCACCTCATTTATTCAGAGGCAAATATTCAAAGTCCTGAACCCATTTGGAACACAGAAAGAATTGTTTGCACAATTATGCAAAATCTGCTCTGGCACTTTACTTATCTGGCATTTACAAAACACCCTAAAAGGTAGCTGTTATTATAATATCCCTTTTATTCAGATAAAGAAATTGTAGAAGTAACAGTTTAGGTATAGTCTGAAGGTCACACAACTTAGGAGAGGTAGAGAAAAGACTCACAGATCTTCATGACTCAAAAGCCTAGATAAATATGCCACAGTGATCCAGGGATAAAAATCCTTTGAGCACCTCTAGAAAGTATGATAATGTCCATATAGTAATTTCCTTCTACTTTATTTACAGTTATGTCTGCTGAGTCCCCACTTAAAGCCTCATTCTTATTTTACATGCAATTCTAATAAGCCTTTTTTCCCTGATTTCTAAGTCCATAACTCAGTAGGAGAAAGAAGGGAGTTGCTGTAGGTAAGCAGAATGAGAGAGAGAAATAAGAGCTGACATTGAATGGGAAACAGAAAGACTGTATAGGTGATGGCTATAAAAATGCTAGAATATATCAGAAAGCATTCAAGAGCTGGCAAGGAATTAAGAAATTGTTAAGATATTGTGTGGTCCCTTCAAAACTATGTCGCAGTTCTAAGCCCCGTACCTGCAACTATGATCTTACTTCTCTATGAGAAGGAAAATTTAGACATAGACATGGCTGGAAGATTGACCCTGTGAGGATGTGGGCAGCATTGGAGTTATGATGTCACAAGCTAAGGAACCCCAGGGGCCACCAGAAGCTGGACAAGGCAAGGAAGGACCTTCCCCTAGAGGTGCTGGCGAGAACATGGCCCTGTCCACACCTGATTTCAGACTCGAAGCCTCCATAACTGAGAGAATAAATGCCTGTTGTTTTAGGTGATCCAGTTTGTGGTGTTTTATTGTAACAGCCCAGGAAAATTAATATTGACACCAAAACCTAAGTGAAAGTAGGAACCTTTAATAAGCCTGAGTCTGTTGTACTTGAAGAACCTGATGGGCTTAAGCTTAAGTGTACATTTCTCAATGGCATAGAGTACGGAGTATAGAATACAAAGAGTAAGACTTGCCCAAGATGAAGAGCTTAACAAAATACCCTCTCTCACCCCCTGTAAATTGGACTCCAAAGGCCAATTTTCTTAGCATAAAGATGAGCTAGAAATACTCCCATCCCCACCTGCAGTGGTCGGGTGAAGATGGCCTCTCTCAATCTCGTGCCAGGAAGATAGGAAAAATCCTCCTCTGTGATTCCCTCCCTTGGATTTATAACTTAAAATACTTCATGGTCCAGAAAATTTCAAAGGTAGAATTTAACTTAGAGTTTTTGGAAGTTCTTAAATATCTACAAAAATGTCTACAAATCCTCTCTGGAGAAAGTCCTATTTAATCCAGGCCACAAAACTCCCCATAGCTAGGGTTCCAAGGAATGTGAATTCACATTTTTGAAGAATCACAGCAGGCAAAGGTGAGAGAACGCACCGAGAGCAAACGCCAGGAAAGCCCGGAACTGCCAGCTCTCCTCTACAAGGTCTTCAGGCATCGGGTCTTCAGACACAGGATATAAAATGAGTTGCATGCTATATTTACATAAATAAGAGATTGAAAATGTGAATAAGAAGCAAGAAACCATTAAAAAGATAAGTCATAGTTGGATAAAAATTGAATTTCAAACATGAGAAATGCAAACATGGAAATTAAAAGCTTGATGGATTAAACAGCGAAAATCAATAGTTTAATAAAGTCTCACCATTCAGAAACTAGGACTAGATGGTTTTACCATCAAGCAATGCTAAACTTACAAGGAACAATATATTCCAAACCTATGCAAATTATTTGAACATAGAGTACAGAATACATATGAAGTGACCAAAAGCGCAGCAGCTTGGACCTCCTTCTGCTCAATGTTAAGGCAGATCCCTGCGTTCACAGCACAGCACAGAACCGCACAGTCATAATGAACTTAGTAACAGTCCTGAGTCATATGAAAAGCCTAAATTGTATTCTGTGTACTCTGTAAAATAAGACAAAAGGGACATACACATATTTAAAGGTTTCTTTGGAAAATGTAAAACTTGTCAAATTTCTGGTATTGAAAGAGGCAACTCCTCAGTTATATGAAATTGACATTAAGAAAACTGATCTGGAAGCCTAGCCTGCTAATTATTTCTTGATATTCAGTTCTTCAATATAAATAGCAGCTGTCTCCACCTTTCTGGAATGGGAACCATAGATGTAGAATGCCACAACTGTGCCCATGCCCTTCCCTTGGAATCCAGGCAGGCAGGAGATGAGGGCGACCTCTCCTCTCCACCGGGCCCTACCTGTACGTGGCTCCTGCCTGGATTGAACTCTTTGGAACACATCACAGAGGTGAGAGGCTCTCAGACACGGCTCTCTGTTGGACCTCCACTTGGACATATCCACAAGTCACCAACTCCTTGTCACCCATATTACTCAGGCCCTAGTGCCAGCCTTGCCTCTTAACTGCTGCTGTTAGCCTTATCATAAAGTCTCTTGTAGAATCTCTCCCTCTGAATGATTCTGTCCTTTCTGCCTCTGTAGCTGAGCAACATCTAGACGGAAGGACAATTGACAGGCTCCACTTTTTGGCTTTGATGTCACCAAGAAATCATTCAAGGTCCTTCTTATCTGGGTATCCTTACTGAATAACATAATAAGGCAGAAATTTGCATTTGAGAATTCTCAGTACCTCAGTACCTCTTATGACTTTATTCTAAATCCAA